CGCGGATCGAAAGGGGTTCAGAGATGCACCATCTGTGTGAGCTCTCACCACAATAGGGATGACAACCCTAGATCGAGTAGGGGTAGTGGAGGCTACACCACCAAATACTCATACACTTCGGGATCGTTACACCGGGACCGTTATGCTCGAGACCCGCAACACTCGGGACCGTTCAACCGTCCCTGCTCAGCGAATGAAGCGCCTTGACACACTGCTTGCTCTTCCGTGCCAAGCAGAGCTGAAGGCACCATGCCAACCCCTATAGGGTCTTTCCTTTTCAGCTTGTAGCCAACATTGGTCTACAAAGCCAGTGAGTGCCCTTAACTCAGCCACTCAGTCTCAGTTCAAGGGATCGCTACCGTGGGCGTCTCAACCATCTAGGCCTTGAGGAAGCATAGGGTCGCCTTGACGTTGTGTCACGATATGTTTTTAGTTAATGGCAATCTTTGCATCAGTTCTGTTTAACTCTTGAGCAACTTGTTCTTACATATCATCAAAGTTTGCATGAGCATGACACCTGCTTGTAACCCCATGTGGAAAGCCTATCATCACTGACTCACCTTTAGGAGACCTAAAATGCACCAACATCTGTAAAAGTGGAGTGAGTCTTACCATTGAGGGTCTTACCTTTAAAGCCGACCTAACCCTCAATTACCTTCCACTAACCTAGATGTCATCTTAGGCATGGATTGATTAACCATTCAACTTTGAGGCATCATATCATGTTCACCTAGATCGTCCAAGTGACCCACCATCGAGGCCAAGTCATTAGATGTGAACCCAGATTCCGAGAAAGTACACCTCTATCCTATATGTGCCTTAAAGCAAGTTTAGAATCACAAAAGAAGAGAAGAGCCAGTTCATGATGTGCACGTGGTGGGGAGACTATCCACGATGTATTCCCTAAAGAATTACTCGGGTATGCCACCCAGCACCGTGATGTAGAGTTCATCATTGATCTTTTTCTTTGGGAGCAGGACCCATTGCCAAAGAGACCCTATCGCATGTTAGTTGATGGGCTGTGCTGAGCTCAAGAAGCGACTTGATGAACTCATCTCGATGGGATATATCGGACCTAGTGCTTCACCACGGGATCCCTCGATACCCATTTGTTAAAGAAGAAGGATGGCACCGATGAGAATGTGCATTGATTAACGAACTTGAAGCATGATGACCATCAAGAACAAGTACCCTCTTGCCAAGGATCGATGATTTACTTGATCGACGAGGTTGCCAAGTATTTCTCAAGATTGATCTCGGTCGGCTATCATCGAGATGAAGATTCAAGAGTGACACATCCAGAAATGACTTTTTGTGACTAGGTATAGGCGGTTTGAGTTCACCGTGGTGTCCTTTGGACTCACAGAATGCTCCATATACTTCATGAACATGATGAATAAGGTTTTCATGGATGATCTGGATAAGTTAAATGGTAGTATTCATTGATGACATCCTTGTTTATTCACCCATCGCCCGAAGAACACGAACATCATCTCGAGAAGCATGCTTGAGAAACTAGCCCAACATCAGCTCTCACATAAAGTTTCAGCAAATGTGAGTTTTAGCTCTGAGGAAGT